TCTGTAATCTGATTTTTTATTGAATTTTATAAATGTCGACTTTGAATTTACTATAGTTATCGCTCTTCTGATTATGACGTGTATGGTCAACCGTACTTACAAAAATGAACCACGTTTATACGCATACAAAATTTCATTTTAAACATTGCGTATCGCATTTTTTTGAGGTCCCTAAATATTAATAATAATTGTCATTATATTTAGACGTCTGATAAAAATCGAAGTATATCCTTTGAATGTAGTATTCCTTTTTTTGAACGTTTCATCTACACTTTTATTATTTACTAAATTTTTCTTAAAATATAATAATACCCATGTAGTCTTAAACTTATTTTGCCGGCAATTTTAGATAATTTAAATTAAGTTGTAGAAAAATATATAATTTTTACATCATTCGAAGGAGAAATAAATTCTTCATAAAGCGTACACAAAAAAAAAAAAAAATAATTTATATTGTTTTATTAGAAACATATTCTGAAATTAATAAAACTTTAACTATCGGTCTTAAACTTATTTGTGCCAGTGTATATAAAGGGCAGTTGTCTGAATGTGTGTGTGTGTGTGTGTGTGTGTGCGTGCGTGCCCGCGTGTGTGCGTGTGTGTGTCCGTGTATCCGGTTATATCTAAAAAATTACAATAATTACGACGAATATATATATTTACAACCATCCCACCTTTTGCCAAAAAATTATCATCGTATGATTTGTATTTGCGAAGATATTTTAAAATGAAAAATACGTAATGCATTTTTAGCCATGGAAGCGTTTCGAAATTCTCAGAATTGAAAAGTAAAAACGAACGGGAATAATTATTATTCCCGTTCGTTTTTTTTTCTTTTTAATTTTTTAAATTATATGTATTTTTAATATTTCTATTCCATTGAATGTATTTCTATATCTATAGTAAATAAAAGCATAACTTTAAAAAAAATGAATATTAAAACAATATTTACAAGAAGAAGAATATTAAATACAATTAGTTGAAAAAAGGTTAATATTTATTTATTCAAATATTTGAAACAAAAAATTGTAAAAACACAACAGAATAAATTACCATAGATATTTTTATTTGGAATTTTCAGTACCTTTAATACAATCAGATATTCCACGAACATATAAGTCACCTTCTTAGAGAATTTTAATCGGGATATTTTAATGCACTTTTACAATTTATTGAAATTGATATTTTTCAAAAGATTAGATATTAAATTTTAAAAATGAATGCAAAAACAAACAAATTATTCTAAATATACACAATCGTTTTAAACATGCCAGGGTGGGGATCGTAAAAAATTTACTAAACTATTTAATTTAATTTTCTAAAAATTATTTATGCTTCCCAAAATATTCTATTTGTTGAATTATATTTTATTATCAATATTAATACTTTCAAAAATATTTATATTATATTATATATTTGTCTATTGTAATTGGGACATGAAAACGGTTTTACAAGTTTATATATATATATATATATATATATAAGAAATAGGTATTATTTATATTTTTATTTATGTTTAAAAAAATAACAACGTTATAAATATATAAATATATATATATATATATATATATATATGAAGAAAAATATACGGAAAAAAACAAACAAAAAATCCTAATATGCAATTATGCTGTTTTAATGTTAATATAATGTCAACGTCGGACGTTTCGGTCTAGTAGACCATCTTCAGGACATATTCATAAAACATAATTAACATTAGACTAGATTTAATTCAACATGAAAAGACGATGGACAATGCTTTAGTTGTACACACATCTAAATCTGATCATAATTTCGATTTTGATTCTGTGAAGATTTTAAAATATACTCATAATAAAAATCTTAGACGGATTTAGGAGGCAGGCATAATATCTATCTCACGCACGGTGAATACTAGACCCGGCTTCTTTAATATTTCCCCTTTTCTAGCAAGATTAATTCTCGACAAACGTACATATAATTTTATGGTTAAAATAAAATTCTTTTCATTTTTCATTCAAAATACTGTATTTTAGGAATACGTTTTCACAACATCGCCCATGTGACGCCGACGTGATCATATTGAAACGGAACGCTGATCTTGAAAAATTTCAGTTGTCTGTTTTGATTACTTTTACTCTTATGTCCATCGTCTTTTCATGTTGAATTAAATATGGTCTAATGTTAATTATGTTTTATGAATATGTCCTGAAGATGGTCTACTAGACCGAAACGTCCGACGTTGACATTATATTAACATTAATACAGCATAATTGCATATTAGGATTTTTTTTTTCCGTATATTTTTCTTCATACTGTCGGATCTATATCCATATATTTGCTTAGATATATATGAAGAAAAATATATACGGAAAAAACAAACAAAAATCCTTATATACAATTATGCTGTTTTAATGTTAATATGTCAACGTCGGACGTTTCGGTCTAATAAACCATCTTCAGGACATATTCATAAATTATAACATTATCAATACAACATGACAAAGACGATGTACATAAGAAAAGACTTATCCAAACAGAATAACTGAAAGTTTTATAATAAGCGCTTTTATATATATATATATATATATATATATATATATATATATATATATATATATATATATATATGCCAATATATCAAACAAACAATTATTCTTACCTACAAATACAAGTAAAAACTTCATAAACAAATTCAAACACAAACTAAATAGATCATAACCCCACATAAAAAAAGCATACAACATGCACGCATGATGACCAAATACAGAGATCAAACCACTAACATAGATGCACGCACGCTCACATGCGAGTATCTGTGGAGCACGAATATATATATATATATATATATATATATATATATATATATATATATATATATATATATATAAATATATATATATATATACACATGTTGACAAAAGCAAGGAACTACTCACAGGCACGCACACAAACCTACACAACTTAGGAAGTACGTGTGTATGTATGTACTTATATACGTACATATGTGTGTATATGTGTGTGTATACTGGTTCCATGTAACTTGGGAAATATGTGTGTGTACGTATGTGTGTATGTATGTACAGATTCCTTGTAGTTGGACGGTGTGTGTGTGTGTGTGTGTGTGTGGATGTGTGTGTATGTGTGGATGTGTACAAATGTGTTTACTAATTCTTCGTAGTGAGACAGTGCGTGTGTATGGAGAGGGTATATACACATATATACACACATGCTGACAGAAACACACGAAAATGGAAATAGATCTAAGAACACACAGGGATCATTAAAACATTAAAAGATATGATACTGATAACTAGTTCATCATTTCTCTCGGACCAATCTTAATTGTTTCATGACCCTTCGCGCAGAACTCTTCATTGCCAGTTCAAGAAAGAAATTCGGATTACTAACACAAACAAAGAGAATGTCTGATATCGAGAATATTTAACATTGAAAAACATAAAGGAGATAAAATTGATTATTTTTTAATAATATGTGGAAATCTCCACCTTTTACCTGATGACGGTCGCGAGACCAGAAACACGTTTAGTAAAATTATGGAAAATAAAGCATAATATTTTTTGTAAAAAATCCACCTTACAACCAAAAACGTTTGCGGTATCTCTCTTCTTTTTAATATACACACTTTTCTCACGTTAAAACTACTATAACCTCTTCCATTTATATATATATATATATATATATATATATATATATATATATAAGTGAACATATAGTCAACGTGATTGCGACAGTCTGTTTCAGACTATCGCAATCAGTGATTGCATATATGTTCACTTTTATATTTACACACGCTCTATCTCTGATATCGAGCACTTTATACCATAAATATAGCACACCTTAAGACTATATTTCTTCATATATATATATATATATATATATATATATATATATATATATATATATATATATATATATTGAATTAACCATATTCTTTCCTGAAATCAGTTTCTGTTTTTTTTTTTTTTTTTACTTTATTTAAAAAGCAATGTGAAACCAAATAAATTATTTTAAATGAAGTAATTATATTCTTATTAAAAATAATTACTGGTGTTAATTTGATAAAATACACAGACAAATATATTTACTTTAATAAATAGTGAAATGTCTAGCCTATAATTATTTTCTGTTTTTTTTTTAAAAAAAGGTTTGTGCATAATTCCCTCCAACCATTTGGCATGACTCATGACAATCTCATTCGGAAAAAGCACCCCCCCTCGCCTAGTTATATTCTTGAGAAATCTAGACCCCTGGTTTTTGCAATGGTATTAGATTGATTATCAAGACAATGAATCAACATGTTATCGAACTTCAACATAACAATGAAACCTAAGATGACGTTATTTCTCCCGAGCAACGCCGGGTATCCCCGCTAGTTCACAAATAAAATCGTATTTTGTGAATTACCCGAGGTCCTAATAGAATATTGTTCTATCTTCACTGTACGACTTTTAATTAAGCCTAATCTGCGACGGAGAGACAAGATGTCACGTCATCCTTTAGAAGATTAGAAACCGTTGTGCGAAATTCAATTCTGTAGAGATATCTGCCCTGTCCCTCCAATAATTCTACCGCCATTACATGCTGCCTCCGCTCAATTTCAAGCTTTCTGTCACTGCACAACCCCATTGATACTCCCATACTCTAAATTTAAGTGTCCGTTTTTCTTTGATCTTCGATAAAGGGACGATTTCTAAGACGAGTTCTCGATTGACTCTCTGCTCCGGAAGCGACGTGGCGGTTTCTTTGGCTTGAAGGGAAGAAAGGAAATAAGAAAACGAGAGACAGTGAGAGAGAGAGAGAGAGAGAGAGAGAGAGAGAGAGAGAGAGAGAGAGAGAGAGAGAGAGGGGGGGGGAGGGAGGGAAAGAGGAGAGAGGGAATGAGAGTTAGAAATCGGTGGTGGGGGCAGGGGTGGTGGAGATTATTATATAATGTAAAAACAGTTCAGTTTAAGATATTTGAGGTTACATCGTGCGGGTCATCGAACGATGGATCTCTGATGATGTATACCTCCTTTCCTTCTGTTCATTCATTCTTTACATTTAATTTACTTTACTTTCCTTTATTCTTCTCTTCATTTCGTTCACAAAGTTTATCATTTTACAACGCTTTCTTTTTCTTTCTTTCTTTCTTTCTTTCTTTCTTTCTTTCTTTCTTTCTCATTTTTTACTTGATTTCTGTTTCCTTTACTTCACTTTCTTTCTTTCTTTCTTTCTTTCTTTCTTTCTTTCTTTCTTTCTTTCTTGTTTCATCATTTTTCCTTCTTGTCTTTCTGTTTCTTTCCCTGATTTCTTTCATTCATTAGCTTCACTTTCTTCCTTTCTTTCTTTCTTTCTTTCTTTCTTTCTTTCTTTCTTTTCGTTTCAGCATTTTGCCTTGTCTTTCTCTTTCTTTCTCTGATTTCTTTGTTTCTTTTGCTTCACTTTCTTTCTTTCTTTCTTTCTGTCTTTCTTTCTCGTTCTTTTCCATCCTTTCCTATTTCTTTCTTCCTCGATCTTTTCCATTCTTTTTCTCTTTCTTTCTTTCTTTCTTTCTTTCTTTCCTTCTTTCTTCTTGTTTCATCATTTTTCCTTCTTGTCTTTCTGTTTCTTTCCCTGATTTCTTTCATTCATTAGCTTTACTTTCTTTCTTTCTTTCTTTCTTTCTTTCTTTCTTTCTTTCTTTCTTTCTTTCTTTCTTTTCGTTTCAGCATTTTGCCTTGTCTTTCTCTTTCTTTCTCTGATTTCTTTGTTTCTTTTGCTTCACTTTCTTTCTTTCTTTCTTTCTTTCTTTTCTTTTCTTTTCGTTTTAGCATTCTCCTTTCTTTTCTTTCTCTTTCTTTACTTGATTTTCTTCTTCCTATAACTTCAATTTATTTCCCTTGCTTCTTTCCTTCACCGGTTCACTTACAATCAGCGAAGTTAAGCAACGTCGAGCGTTGACATTAACTAGATGGGTGACTTCTTAGAAATACTAGGTGCTGTAAGCTTGGATGTGTGCCTGGTGTAATAGATAAACAGTTCGAAATTGAAATTCGGAAAGCCGAGTTCAATTTCCAGTCGGATTCTCTACATTCAATTACTCGCATATATTCTTAGGAAATGCGTGGGTCCAACTGATCTCCCTTCAACAACGGGTTAATTAGTAGAACATGTATTAGTAAATCATTATTATCACAAAAAGATTCTTATCTTACAATCTAAATATATTTTCTGGCTTTAAATAGCCTGCAAGAGGTTGATAAGTCGTAAATAACAAATCAATCAATCTTATTTTCTTTATCTTTCTTTCTTGGATTTCTTTATTTCCTTTGCTTAACTTTCTTTCTTTCACTCCGTCTCCCTATTCTACTGCGTTTTCTTTCTTTTTCTTTCCTTTACTTCTCTTTCTTTTGTCTCTCTTTCTAACTTTCATTAAAGACTAGTAACTAGGTTATATATGATGGCGATTCAGTGTCAGTAGTGTGTCGTATACGAATAGTAAAAAATTAATAATTCCTTAAATTTGATTTGGAATTATTACTGCTTAGACTACGCCATATAAATGAGAAAAAATATAATCCAGTGCAACTTCGGTTCTTGAAGGCTTCACATATCGACCAAATCGGTTTTCGTACGAAATATTCGAGATGAAAATGCCTCGGTTATCAAACAAAATTTCAGTTCTCGAACAACATTGCCGAACCGAGCCGAACCCGAACGGAATTATTTCTTAGTCGACCGCCATGTTGTATCTATCTGTCTGTTGTGCTGGGATTTTTCTTTTTTTTATTTAATTTTATTGTACCATTCCCTTTTTTCTCTTCATTAGTCCTCAGTCAGTTAAAGCTATCAGTGATACTGTAAAGGAAAAAGAAAAACAATTGTTGATGATATTGTCTCTTCTTATTCAGTTTCATATGGTAAAATCAGTCAGTTATTTGCCATGCGTGATACACGCTTAGGCAATCATGTATCTTTCGGCACATGACTGACGGGGCAGATATTTGCCGCAGTAGGTTTCCATTTCTTTCTGCGGTAGACCAGTGGCCATCTAAGGCTATAGACACCACTCTTTCCTGCTATTTATCCATAGCTGTAGGGAGAGAAAATTCAATCCTTTCGTAAATGTATGTAATGGATTCGACTGGAATTCGAAATCGGCTCTCCGATTCCTCAATCCGAGCCGCTAGCCATTACCCCACCGTTTTTCATAAATAAAGTGTGGATCATGTCTTTCCTTTCCCTTTCCTAACAATAATATCTCTTTCCTTCCCCTTCCTCTTACGCCATCAGCTCTCCTACTTACAGGTTCGGTAAAATTAAAATGTTCGTTTATATTTTATTTGGGTTTATTTATTTTTTTCTTAGATTTGATGACTTTCATTAGTTTTGTGTATAAACTTGTGCCCTAAGTACTGTTGTTAAAGTTTAAATAGCAATCATCTTTGGACCAGGAACGGATTAATCCAATTTACATTGATTCCTACGGGAAAAATAGTTTCGGTTTACAAATATTTCGGATTACGAACGGGCCTCAGAAACGAATTCAATTCGTAAACCGAGGTTCCACTGTATAAATAAAATCACAGTTCTTCCCTAGACGGAAAAATATTATCCCATTCACAAGTCATTTTCCTTTTGATATTCTGTCGCTATTTTTGTGACAGATGTTGGAGCAAATTGCATTCCTTGGTTTCACTATTCCAGACATTCACAGCTATGACCCCACAGGTCACGTACACTGAATTGATTCATTCTTATTTCTTTCATATTCCATTAGTAAAGAGGTTTTTACACTCAGAGAGCTCCTTCCCCAGAACTATTTCACTGTGGAATAGGCTCCCAAAGTGATGCTTTCCAGATCACTATAATCTTAAACTCTTCAAGTCTAGGGACAACCGTTATCTATCCTACATATCCTCATGACATTCACCTCTTGCACCCTTCTTGTACTCCTTTTAAACAACCTCATTTAGTCACCTTCTACCTTGACTGGCTCTTGGGCCTTATATTTGTTGAATAACTGTATAGAAATATACTCTCTTCATTCTCAAGTTTTTCAAGACCAATGGTCGATCTTGCTCTTGACTACACCTCAGTAGCAGTAATCCGAATCATATTAGGAGAACTAGTAAGCTACATCTGAAGGAGAAATGAGAAGTTTAATATTTGATGCATAACGCGTAATATTACGTTAGGTCATTTATAATACGTAATGACACACCCAGTATAATGTTCATCCTATGCGTTTAATATTTCCCATTGAAACACTGAAGGAAGAGTTTGCACAATAAATTTTTCAAAGCAGACATTTATTTATTTGATAATTTATTACTTCAAATGTTATTGTTGTAACCTAGGAAAGGTTACTGAATAGAATAAACACACGAAGGTTGGTAATGAACAATAATACTTAGGACAAGAACAACACATATAAGATTCGCCAGCGGCGCGTAGAATTAGTAGTCAACTGCTAGAAGTGAGTCAAGTGAATTCCACAATGAATCTCTAACTGCAAGATATCTACCAACTACCCCACGCGATCAGATGTGGCACAAGGCCGAATTTAATGTGGGGTATCCGAGCCCGTAGGCTTGGCCAAAGATTCCCCGTACATACCATATAAAACAGGGTCGGGTAGGTGTCTTCTGAACCGAGAATCTGCCCTTTGAAATAGCCTCGTCTGAAAATCCTCTCTGCTCGGAGGTAGAAACTTTGATCAGCACAGCTGGGGACATATCTCCAACTACAGGCTATCTACAAACCACCCCACCCAGTCAGATGTAGCACAATACCGAATTTAATGTTGGGTATCCGAGACTTTAGGCTCGGCAAAAAATTCCCCGTAGACACCGCATAAAACGGGGTCGGGTAGCTGTTTCCCGAGCCGAGACTTTGCCCTCCTCTCGGCTTGGAGGCAGAGAGTTTGTCAAGCACACCTGGAGGCGAATCTCCAACTACAGACCAACATACAGTATTTACTACTGTATTTATGTGAATGCGGATATAACCATTATCGTTCGTAGGTAGGCTACAGCAGTTATAATCAAGGATACTTCGTATTTGAAATAGGCACCCATTTTTTATTCATAAACATTATGTATTACGTCTATGTATACCGGCGCATTCGAGAAATCCTAGTAAAGAAAATGTGTTAAGTGGCAGGGATTGATCTTGCGTAAAGGAAACTAACGTTTGATCCAGTGGCTTTATCACTCGGCCACGGAGGACGGCACAGTTCTGCTTTCCGTTTTTAAGGAAAGCACATACACTTTATCTCCTTAAAAGCTTCATATTTGCTCAATTTTTTTATCCCAAACGTAAACAAAGCAATTTCTAAAGAATTAATGGATTTATTTTTAATTCGTTTTTACTACTTCAACCGTTATTAGTGTGAGTACTTCTTATTTGAAATAGACGCCCTATTTCCATTTATTAAACAATGTGTGTTATGTCTATATGGCTCGCGCATTCCCTAGATCGAGGTAAAGAAAATAGGTTATGTATCTCCGTACGCATAGGCTCTAAACTGCAAGAAAGGGAACAGTTTTCATTATATTTTCTTCTGTTGTCCTAAATGTATTTCCACAATGCAACATGATGAAACGCATGAATCATTAGATAAAAGAAAAAAAAATGGAAATATTGCAAGGAAAAAGATGGCAGGAAGAAAAGAAAATGGCGGTAAAAAGAAAGGCCGTTCATTATTCAAGAAGAGTCGCCCGAAGATGAATATGAACTGAAATAGAACAAAATATCACAAAAGAGCTAATGAATAATCTAATTAACAAAAGGACTATCCTTTTATACAAACGACGGAAGCTCGACTCGCCGTTTGAAAGTATTATACTGTCATTGTTATCCTCAGTCATACAAACCTATATTATTTGAATATCAATGCTGACTCGCATATGCAGTTTAAAAGTCCCCAAAAGACATACGAAGGTGAACTGAAAAGTTCATAGGCTCACCATCAAGGAGTGATATTAGAGCTGTGAAATCTAGCATGCAATAATTTCACCTCTACTGACTAATAACTGCATTGTGTATTTCCAGATAAACTGTGATTTGACTGTTCAAGGAAGACTTCAAAATGTAACTAGTAGCGATTTCTCTTGAAAATGGACAAAATCTGGCATTGTGGTGTCATCAAGTACCTACAGTAAAAAGGGTTCAGTCCCCAAGGAGATTCACGATGACATGGGTGCTAATTTAGGGGTTGACGATCAATCTTTATCAACAGTGCAAAAGGAGGAAGTTGAATTTAGGAGAGGAAGGGAGAGTCTAGATGATGACCCAAGTACAGGATGTCTTGCAACTGCTACCACCGAGGAAAACATTGTTTTCGAAACATGGTTATGAAGAACAGGCGACAAGCTATAAATCAAATAGCCAATGCTATTAGCATATCTTGTGGGAGAATTGAGAATAATTTGCATAATGGACTTGGCATGACGAAGGTTTCTGCTCAGTGTGTGTCACGTCTTCTGACACCTGATAGAAAGCGCACCAGTCTGATCACATCACAGGAAAACTTAACAATGAGGCACAACCACCTGTTTTTCTTGAACGTTTCCAAGATGATTGTTGGAGTCATCACTTGGAGCCCGAGACAAAGAGAAAATCCATGCAAATACTCTTCCTCGCCTACTCGAAAGAGGGCCATGGTCGTTTCCTCTGAAGGTAATCTGATGGCCTCGAGTTTTCGGGAATTGAAAAAGGCATTGCATTTATTGACTGTCTTGAAAAGGGCCACACCATCGATGGAGAGTACTATGCCAATTTGCTGAGGCAGTTACGAAACGTTATCAGGACAAAATGCCCAGGGAACTTGACAGTTTTTTTGATTCATCAGGACAATGTTTCAGTGTACAAGGCCTTGGATTCAATGGCTACTTTGAACCGGTTGGTCATTCTCCCTACTGTCCTGATTTGACCTCATCTGTTCAACTGTTCTCCAACATGAAAAAAACATTTGGCTGTGAACCAGTGTCGCAGTTCTGATGACGTTATATCTGCTGTTGATTTATAACAAATAGGATGAAAGCTTCTTCAACAATGGGAGCCAAGCATTGCAATATCGATGGAAGAAGTATGTGGACCGTTACGGGTATTATATTGAAAGATGAACCACATTTCGTCACATTCCATGGGAGTATCTTGCTCAGCGTATAAACTTTTCAGCCGACAGTGGTGGAAGCCCTAATAAATAAAATTGGCAGAAGAATTAACCTATTATACACACGAGTGATACTGAACTCATCATTTGAAAATATCGAACAGACAATGTCATGTACAGTCAGTTATGTGTCATGTGTGATAGACGCTTAGGAAATCAAGTATCTTTCGATACATGAATGACAAGGCAGATTTTTGCCCTCAGTAGGTTGCCATTTCTTTCTGCGGTAGACTAGTTGCCATCCAAGGCTAGAGAACCCGGTCTGTCCTGCTAATTACCTATAGCTTTCGAAGAAGAGGATTCATACCTTTCCCAAGGATATTAGCACGTAATAAATTCGAATTCGGTTCTCCGATTCCTCAATCCGAGCCGCTATCCATTACTCCACCTTGCCTCCTCCTCTACAGTCATACAGCCATCCATTGTTTGAACTTAAATATTGATTCACATAGCCAGCCCAGTCTGACCAAAAACACATAACAGTAAGGTATTTCTGTGAAAATCATACTCAAAATACGAGCAAATGGTCGATCGAAATCATTACTCTACGCTGGGGTTTACCTATAAGAGTTTGTTTGTTTTTTTAAGCATTTCACCCCAAGCAAGGCGGGAAGCCACTAGGACGCAAGGGGTTACAGAAGATATGGAGCAAGATCAGATAGGAGTGATAGAGGAAAGGATGAGGAGGAGGATACTGGAGATGTCGATTGACATTTGAATAGTTGGAGATTATAGCTCTCAGGAAAACAGGAAAAGGGAAGGGAGTTCCACAGGCGAGAGGTGCGAGACATGAAGCTATTGGAGTAGAAGAGACGGATACATTTAATAGTTTCGACAGTGAAAGGGTGAGAGCGGGATGCCAGCCTCGTAGGGCGCTTGAATTCATGCAGTCTGGGAACCAGCGAATGCAGCTCCTCGGAGCAATTACCATGAAAGTATTTGTAAAAAAGACAGAGAGAAGCGACGGCGCTTCTGTGAGAGAGCGACTGTAGACGAGATGCCAGAACAGGGCCAATTTTATTGCATATCCGCCTCTGGATCTTATCAAGAACCCAGAGGCAAACAGAAGGGCTCCATATATGGCAGCAATATTCCATGCAAGGGCGAATTGTTGATTTGTAGATCTGAAGGATCGATTCCGGGGAGAAAAATTTCCTGGCGCGGCACAGGGAGCCAATTTTCTTTGCGGTGGACAAAGCAATTAACTCAATGTATTTGTTCCATCTCAGGCCAGCAGTCAACGTGAGATCAAGCAGCCGCAGAGATGTGCTCTCGAGAAGTTGGGCGTCAGACATTCTAATGGAGGACAGGGAAGGATCTCTGTGGTGATCGAAATCAGTTTTGTTTTTGAGGCATTAAAGTTGACCAGCCAATTCCTGAGTTGGCACTCTAATAAAAATCTTCTCTTTACATTTCAAATCTCCTTAACTTTTCACGTTTCTTGAATAGTGTCTTGGAAATCTACTATTGCTTCAATCCTATGCCTTATCCTGATATGACCATCGAGAGAATACTATTGAGGCTCCGATAATCAGTAACGTCTGGTTCAGCTACAACAATAACAATAAATTCAAGTTCATATTTCCAATTAAGTAATGTATTATGTAAGTGTTCACTTAAAAACTATATTTTGTATTTCCTTATAAAATTATGTTTGATTGGCAGACTTGTATATCCACCCTTGTGAAAATTTATTGAATCAAAACGAATGATGACTTTTTATGTATTTTTCCAACGAAACATGCCCTAGTGCACATGTTAGTACTTCCTATGTCCATTCCACGAAGTCGTTCCTTTGCATATTGACCACAGATTATCGATTGGATTTAAATCAGGAGAGTTTCCGACCCAGTCTATAGTACTTTGATTTGCTCACTGGTAAGCCTTGCCAGTATTTTAGTGAAACGTTACAATTTTCGTACGCTGACAATGGCCGTAGAACAACTAATCGACAGTCGAGACAATAGTGTCTGGGCGTGTGATAAAAACCTAATGCTGTCACGGTGACGCAATATTTTTCAAAGTGAAACAAATTTCCTCATAAACCCTGAAAATAGGTTCATATAACTGTACAAAACTGAAAATGACCTAATCTGAGGGGAAAATGGAAGTCGATTACAGCCTCTCACTCCAGTGAGTCTAGAACTAATCGTGTGGTGGAAGAAAGGTAACTAAAGTGGCTGTTTCAATTAATTTGTACAAAGGTGTATTTTTAGTGACAGTTTAAAGTTAGTTATTTTGTTCTAGAAGAAAACGAAAAAAATTTATTCCTCTGGAAGGGTTCAGTTGGAAATTTCTCGAAAGTTACTCGGATCGATTAGAAGAAAACCAGACAGTATAACGGCCGAAAGGTTGCTATAGCAACAAAAACAATGAAGATATTATACCAACTGTAAGTAATGGAAATAACAAACATACCCTTTTTTTATTTATATGTTATTTATTTATTATTGCTTATTGTCATTTCTGCCATGAATTTCGTTTGTCTGTTTGATTTTTTGCTCTCATTGGCTTACGGCCATATCAGATTGAAACATTGGTTCCCGTACGATCGCCATAGATGACCAACGTCGAACCTGGTCAGTACTTCGAGGGCTGACTGGGAATTTCAAGTGCTGTAAGCTTGGATGTGCTAATAGTGCAATAGCTCGTAATTGTTCATCGGAGCGTCGAGTTCTAATTCCAGTTGGTTTAGTTATATTCACTTAAGCACAAATACAGGTAAAAAGGTATGAATTTAGATTTCTTCCCCCCTGCTATGGGTTAATTAATAAGACTTCTATCACTAAATCATTATTATCTCCAAAAAAATTCTTAGCATGTAAAAATATTTTCTGGATTTAAATAACCTGCGAAGGTTTGATAAGTCGTATTTTCCTCTTTCTTTTTCCCTTGATTTCATTTTTTCTCTTGTTTTCCTCTTTTTTCCTTATTTTCCTCCATCTTTTTTTTACCTTGATTTCTTCTTTCTTCATTGTTTTCCTCTTTCTTTTATCCCTTGTTTACCTTTTGCTTTTTAACTCTTTCTTTATTCTTCGTATTCTCCTAACCTTTTTCCCTTGTTTTTCTATTATATTTTTCCTTTTTTCCTCTTTCTTTTATTTTTCCACTTGTTTTTCTCTTTATTTTCCTCTTCATTTTTCCTTGATTTCCTTTTCTTCTTTTTTCCTTTCCCCCTTTTTTCCTTTTTCTTTTTTTCTTAGTGTTCCCCTTTGTTTACCTTCCTTTCATTTTTCCATTGTTTTCCCGTTCTTTATTTCTTATTTTCCTCTTTATTTTTTCCATTGTTTTCTTCCCTTTGATTTCCGCATTCATTTTTCCAGTGTTATCGCCGTCCTTTTCCCCATTGTTTTCACCTTTCGTCTTTGCCTTGTTTTTTCTCTTTTTTCCAGTTGTTATCCTCTATTTTTTAACCTTGTTACCCCTTTCTTTTTTTCTCTCTTTTTTTCCTGTTTCTTTTCCTTTGTTTGCCGTTTTTTTTGCCATTGTTTTACCCTTTCTTTATTCCGTATTTTTCTATTTCTTTTTCCATTTTTCTCCATCGTTTTCCTCTGATTTTTTCGCTTGTTTTCCTCTTTTATCTTGTTTTCCTCTTTCTTTTTCCCTTAATTTTCTCTTTCTTTCCCCTTGCTTTCCTCTTTCTTTTTCCCTTAATTTTCTCTTTCTTTCCCCTTGTTTTTCGCTTTCTTTTTCCCCTTATTCTTCTCTTTTTTTCGTTATTTTTCTCTTTCTTTTCACCTCGATACCCTCTTTCTTTTTCCCTTTTTTTCCTCTTTTTTCCTTATTTTCCTCTTTCATTTTCCCTTGATTTCGTCTTTCTTTTCCTCCTTGTTTATCACTGCTTTTTCCCTTCCATTTCTATGTTTTTCTTTTATTCTCTTTTGTTTATCAGTTCATTTCTTTGCTTCTTATTTTTTTTCTCTTCTCTATCGCTCATATCTTTTTATCTGTTTCTGTTTAATTATCAGTTTTCCTTTGGGTCTCTTTCTCTCTTTGTTTTCTTTCTTCTTCGGGTGTGCATATGGTGTAATAGAAGTGGATCTCGGAGAGGTGAGTTCGAATTCCAGTCGGGTTCGTTATAATTATTTACGCAGGAATAGCCTTGTGAAAGTTATTAATATATATATTTCCTTCCCATCAATGGGTCAAATAGTTGGACTAGAAAAATCTTTGTTATAGACCAAAAACTGTTAATGAAATATTCACTCGTAAACAAAAAGAATTATTCTTACAATCCCCAAAATATGTTTCAGGCTTAAATAAACCACAGAACGGTTGATAAGCCAGATAAATCAATTTGTTTTTTTTTTTCTTGCAAACTTTCTTTCTTTTTCCCCTTTTCTCAATGTTTTTCTTTCTTTCTTTCTTCCTTTCTTTATTTCTTTCTTTATATCTTTCTTTCTTCCATCCTTTTCTTTCTTTTTCCTATTTCCATCTTTCTTTCTTTCTTTCCATAATTTTTCTTTGTTTCTTTTTCCTATGTCAATCTTTTTCTTTCTTTCTATCTTTCCTTCTTTCTTTCTAACTTTCTTTCTATCTTTCTTCAATTCTATCTTTTCTTTTTCTTTCTTTCTTTCTATTTCCATTTTTTCTTTCTTTTTCCTAATTCCATCCTTTTTCTTTTGTTCTTTTTTCTATCGTTTTTCTTGCTTTTATTCTTGTTCTTTCTTTTTTCCTTTTCCTATGTCCATCCTTTTCTTTCCTTCTTTCTTAATATTTCCACCCTTTTTCTTTCTTTTTTCCATTATTTTTCGTTCTTTCTTTTATCATTTTTCATTCTTTTTACGCTTTTACCCTTTTCCATCTTTCTTTCTTTTTTCTTTCTTTCTTTCTTTCTTTCTTTCTTTCTTTCTTTCTTTCTTTCTTTCTTTGTTTTGCACACTCTTATGTCAACATTTCTCCAAATTTTTGCTTTCGATTCCTTTCTTCATCTTTTTTTATTTCACATTTTATCTTAATTTCTCAAGCAACTTTTCATTTCTTCTAAGTTTTTACAGTCACCATTTACGATATTTTACCTTTTCCTCTTTTTTTTTACTCCTACCACCTCATGTTTTCACTATCTCCATCCCTTTCTGTTGATGCCTTCACGGTTGTATCAATTTAGCAATGCCATATCATCTAATGGCAAAAGCATTTTGAATATAACACCATTAAGAAAATAAAGTACTTTACTGATAATGGCATCTGCCCTAACAATATGCAAAACCTTTTAGTTCGATAAGCCGATCTGAGAAGGTGTATTCTAGAATCGCATTTACAACGGGATCAGAGAATAAAGAGGCCCTCGTATATCTGAGATGATATAAAACTTAATGTTACTCTTAGTATCATACGATGATATTGCCGGAACAAGTAAACATGGACTGCTTCGATTTCAGAATTTCACCATTGTTGATCAAATATATTTCTCTTTTGTGTGAAATATAGCGTTATCGTTGTAAATACTTACAAGAGTTGAGCCTAAATTTTGCACGCGTAAAATCATTGGTTTTCAATTTTATCATTCGTCGGTTAATATCGGTGTGAGAGTTGTGAGTTTCGGGGACTTTCTTCGAACATTGATCTTTTTCTCGCAGGGATGGGACAAATTCTAGTTCTTCCTCCTCGAGTAGGTCGTTTATATAACTTTCTGTAATTCGAATGTCAGGCCTGTTCACCTCGTTAGCACAGGACGGGGACAGCAACTGATTGCATTTGATGTGCGTTTCAGCACCTGGTTGCTAGGTAGGCACCTTCCAGGTCAACCCCCTGAAGAACGTAATTCTTCATATCTCTTAGGTGATCCCGGTACCTAAGGAGGTACGCAAATCAATTCCTCCTATGTAGTGACGTGTCGAAGTTTGGTGATGCCTGTGGCCAATTCCTTCATTGTATGCCCCAGACTCAAGTAGGGGCGCTTAGTCTGGTCTCACTTATCAAAGCACGGATCCCCATCACACTAGCTTGTGGGACCGTAGAGCACTTGTACAACAAAGTTAACAGGGACAATTTCAAATTTCAAAACAAATTTTTATTTCACCCTTTGATTTGATGCCCTTCCCAACACGGATGCATGGCGCCGTTGCACTCTCTGCCCCAGCTTCTGTACGCTACTGCTCATATGACACTGTCTCGTTATTGCAATTAAATTCGATTCAGGCTTGAAGCTCATACTAGAAAGTAGACAGACTCCTTGTTATGAAATTTGGTAATTGACTCTTGTGTTTACTTTGGCTATTCTTTATCAACTTATATCTATCCCCTTCCCTGGTATTTATCTTGAAGATTTGCTTCGTAAATTTCATTTTTAATTCACGTCGAACAATTTTCTGTAAAGAACGTGTTAACCTGTTTGGCAAACCTTTTTTTTTTTTTTTTGCAAGTTGATTGTTATACATTTCTTGCTAGAATAGTCCAATAAACCATAGGTTTCAAACTCGCTTAGCTTTATGGTTGGAATTAAAGAATAAAATAAATATCATTGGCCCATTTTCCGGATATGGACATTTATTTTAAAAACCCTGTTCATAGTGAAGTTTAGCGTTTCTCAGCCTAAAAATGCTGAGAAACGCTAAACTTCACTATGAGAAAAGGCTTGTGGAACTCCTGATATAGTTTTCCTGTCTCAGGGATCCCGTGCATGAAAGTATTATATACCATTATTAATATCTATCTCTTTTATATTTTTATTGTAGTTTACATCTTAAACATAATATATGGACACCATTCATGCGTCCTTCACTCGAGTGAGTCACTCACTGATGCACGATTTCGCCACGTACAGTTCATATCCTGTAATTGAAGGTGATTTTATACTGCCGCCATATAGACATTGCTAAATATATTCACTATGATTATTATATTTTTAAATAATATAAGTTGAAGCATTTATTTTAATAACCACGGATTCTCCAACAATAGTCCGTACTTGTATAATCAAATTACGAATATATAATTAAACAGAAATTACTCAAAAATGCATTAGCCTATTTATTACTTTTTCTCATAAAATCCCTTGCAACCTCTTGTGGATTCTAGGATTCCGGAGAACACCGATAGAGAAAGATTGGTGCAGGTTAAATCCTACTTTTTAATTTGTAGTTTCAGAATGAATATATACGAGGCATTTTTTTTAATCATTTTAACCAAAACAAAACAATACTAAGATATAGGTTACTGAGTGTGAAAGTATATGAGAAATAGAAATCATTAGACTGACATGTCAGAGCTTGATTCATGTGTCACATACCTGCCAAAGACGCGAATAAGAAAAGGCGCGTGTAAAACTCTTAAATATATAAGAAATAGAGTTAGACTACTCATTTCTCGGTGTGCCGTTTCATTTCAGATTTCGTTTCCTTGTGAGCCTGCAACGGGCCGTGGCTTTTTTTTTTGATACCCACCGAACGAGAATGGAGACCTAAGGTGGGTACATATTAGTCGGTCTGGTGGGGAAGGCTAGATGATGGCGTTGTTGTATGTTTGCACATAAATCACGTTATATTCACGACACAAGCAAATGGTCTCCGACATTGGCGTGTTAATGTTAATCTAGGGCAAACGCCCGATGCATGCACATTTGTATATAAGTTATTTCAATAAATACTTGATGTCTAAAATTTTAATTTTTGGTGGAGTGAATTCGTTTCTTCATTGCTCTGTGAAAAAAAATATCACCTCCAACGATAGAACCTACGTTTTTCCATTTTTGCTCCGATGTTTGGCCGTCCTGGGCATGACGATAAACTACATCCGTGTCCTGGGTAAGACGATAAACTACATCCGATAGCAAGGCTTTTGAACAGAATGTTTTCAGGAGCGTGTCACCATCACTTAATTGCTAGTGTTTCCGAGGTGGTAGCAATTGTCAAGGTCTCAGCTATGGGCAAATAGTTAACACCCCAAAATGAGTCAAAACACTATGAAATTATAAAAATAGGTTTTAATAGCAGCAATAATTTTTGGAAAAAATATTACTGGTAATACATTTAAAAAAATATACCAACAATACATTTTTGAAAAACATTTACCAGCAATAAAAATCTTATCGGCATTAATTAACCCATTGAGGTTGATATACCGTAAAAAACAAAAAAACAATCTAACTCAATCTGATGTTTGTAGAATTTGATGTTTGTAGAATATTGAAGACAAGCGAATCAAAAAGATCGAGTAACTTACCTAACAAGTTTGTGTAAATGTCTGGCAGAGCAGATACATGGGGTGATTGTAAAGGGACATATATTGCTTAAAGCCAGAAATGATGGGAAGTTGTAGAGAACAATTTTAGCCCATGTCAAGAAAGGACATGGCACATAGAATAAGATATAAATACAATGAAAATTAAGAAGAATGGTGATTTCAGTGGTCAGAAAAGAAAGCAAGCGTTACTTGATTGATTGATTCGTTTTCTACGGCTTATCAACACTTTGCAGGTTATTTAAAGCCAGAAAATATTTTTAGATTGTAAGAATGTCTTGGAGAGATAATAATGGTTTAGTGATACAATTCTTACTAATTAACCCATAGCTGGGGGGATCATATACACGATCCATCATTAAAGATGCTGGAAAAATGCTCAGCTGCTTGTATCTTCCCAGAAAGTACCTGACTCCTTCTATCGTGCTTTATATTTAGAAGAAGCAGATTATTAGAGAACAATATATTGAGTGTTGCTGCTATATAGGGTGGGGGAGTTGATCAATTCTGTCTTTCTAGCTTTTATACGTTCTTGTCGGTAATGAATTAGTCTCTACTCTACAACTCATTTCACAAAGAAAAAATGACGTAAGTTTCTCACTACACTGTCGCTTTTTCCATGGAAAAAATTCTGACTTGATATATTCTTTAGTTTTACTAGTTCAGACCTTTACACCTAAGAACCGCGCCATGCCACGAACACACAGAGGCGAACCATTCTCATTTGTTTCGAATTCCACTGGATGGCGTTTCACTCGGAGATCTTCTTCCTAAAGCCGCTCATCTATTCTACATACCCTCATAATCTGTACTTCTCACCTCATCCTCTTACGTTCATATAAAAAAACTCATTCAGTAACTCTCTACCTTGAGTGCCTCTTCGACATTGTGTGAACAATAGCAAAAACTAGCTTATACTATAGAAAATGAGAAAAAGAGATTTTCAGTGTTCAGGATTTAGGGCGAAGAACAGTTTCATTGATTGATTCCTTTTATACGCCTTATCAAACCTTTGTAGATTATTTAAAACCTGAAAAATTCTTTTTTTTAGATAATAATGATTTTGTGATACAAGTCTTTCTAATTAATCCATAGCTGGGGGAACGAGATAGATTCATACCTTTCCCAAGAGTATTTGAGCGTAAGTGAATATAACGAACCCAACTGGAACAAGAACTCAGCACTCCGATTAACAATTCTGAGCCATTATCCATTACACCACCTGCACATCCAAGCATAAATCACTTAAAATTCCCAAGCGGTCACCCATCCAGGTACTGACGAGATTCAAAGTTGGTTAATTATGGTGATCATACAGGAACTGGTGTTACAACGTGATATGGCCATAATACTAGGAATACTTTCAGACCAGGGTTATAATAAAGATCTTATGCTAATATACGTGCACTTATAAAGAAAGGATTAATATTTTGCATAATAGTTTAATGAATCTGAGTCCTAATATCGTTGGCAGCATACCTTTGATTCTTATAAAAAAAATCTGACTATATTTTATATAGAAAATATACAATTCACAAGCAACTGATTGCTTACCAAAAACAGAAGCATAAGTTTTCAAACAACTCTATCTTTAAACTCATTAGCAACTTTTTCTCTTTGCTGTCTACAGAATACAAATATTTGCCCGGCGGCTGCCATTTCAACACCCGTGTATTTTCGATTGTCTGCTAAATTTACTATACTTAAAGACGAATCTCTCTCTCTCTCTCTCTCTCTCTCTCTCTATATATATATATATATATATATATATATATATATATATAAGAGCAAGAGCATAGACGCGTTAAACAAAGAAATTTGGATGCACACAGATGCAGACATACATTGTATAAAGTGGGATTGCTGCCCAAAGGTGCAATATATATATATATAGGGTACGA